TTTCTACATCCTTTTAATGCCTAAACAAGTTGTCCATAAGGTTCCTGAGGATTCTAATACTTTATAATTTCTCCATCCTTTTAACTGAGTATTACTTCTTGGCACTTGTGTATAAGGTCAAAATAATAAATACAAAACAACGTTAACATAGGTACACAATTAAAAACATTTTAATTAAGGTCAATATATTGACCACTAAAAAGTTGAACCTTCATGTTTCGACATTCCATCGCCATCTTCAGGAGTAAATTGCAAGACATAATCGTGTCGTATTTATACTTTTTTGTTGTTGTTAAACTGGTCATATAAATCATGTCATACTAGATCACAAAAAATATCTGCGTTTTACACAAAATTTTGAAGATATGTACCAAACAAGAAGACATAAAAATGAGTAATTATTAATGAAATTTATAACACCTGAAGGTGGATTTAACCCGAATATTGTAGATAGGCTGTCAAGAAATTTACTGGTGTGATATCGGCTGATTAAAATAGTACTTTAAAATCTAGTTATGAAAAAATTAAAAAGGAAGCTTTAATTTTTACCATATATTCCAGGTCTAACTAATAATTTATTTAAATTGTTTAGAAAACAACAAATATTTTATCCTATATTTAAACCGATTAATCAAGATTTAGGTAACACCAAAGATAACGTACAGTTAATGGAAAAACAGCAATCTATAAAATTTAACGTGAATGTAGAAATATTTATATTGAACATTAAAATATCATTTAATGAAACGTAAGAAATAAAAAAAAATAAAAATTCAGCCATAGCAGAACATGTACATGAAACATAACATAAGGTATTGTGGAGAAAAAAAACCTGTAATAATAGCTTAAGTAAAAGGTATTAGAGTCAATAATATTCGCGTCTCCTTAGAAATAATTAAATATTTTAAAAATCATATATTATTAAATAGAGATGAAGGTCCAGCAAATATTTATGTAAAAATGTGGGATGACCTTCTCTAAAATGTTCACGCGGGAATTGTAAACCTGTAAATAGGTCATATGACATATTTAACAACAATAAAAGGTATAAATAAAACACGATTATGTCTTGCAATTCACTCCTGAAGACGGCGTTGGAACGTCGAAGCAAGAAGGTTCAACGTTTTAGTGGTCAATATATTGACCTTAATTAAAATATTTTTAATTGTGTACCTACTTTAACGTTGTGTGTTATTTATTATTTTATCCTTTTAACTGCCTAAGTAAATTGCCCATAAGATTACTTTCGATTTGAATGTATTCTTCTTGCGAAATATGTCTGTCAAACAAGTAATATCACCCTTTAAAGAAAAATGTTCTTAAGCCTTGCGGCAGTTAGCAACTATTATAAAGTTACGCCATGTTGATAATTCCAGTGGGAACGACATTTGTGATGACTTCGTAAGTTCTATGATTATATAAAATGACCCAGACAGTTTTACGTATCAAAATATTATCTTCTTTTTCGTCGAAATTAGGACTATGGGGAGATTTTATTTGGGCTGAGTTACCTCCCTACAGCTGAACGCCTAACCTTCAACATTATCAAGGCCAACAACCTACAATCTATTACTGAAGAAGTGGAGCATTTTGGTAAGTGTCACACTGGTGTTCTTACTACGTTAGTTGTATTACATAGTGCACTGGTGTCAGTGCGTTTGTTTATTATATTAGGTTGTAATGTGTTTTACTTCAATATTTTTGTTTAGTTGAATTAACTTTAGATCATCTGTCAGATTAATAATAATAATTGCTGGACTTTTTAAACGCTAAAAAACAAATGAGAATAAAACTTAGATTTATTTTTAGCGATGACGTTTTTTGATCACGGTCTTACCTGATATTAGGCCTAACTCGTTATATCTTGAAGACTAGGGCTGACACCCACTCTTATGATTAGGTTGCCAGACTGTTGATCTGTGGTTCCTGGTTCGCATCCCGTTAAAGCAAAATCGCATTTCACACTTTGGATGTGTTATACGAGTGCCAGCCAAATCCTACTAATCGATTAGAATAAAATAAGAGTTGGCGGTGGGCGTTATTGACTAGTTGCCTTCCTTCTAGTCTCTCACTTCGAAATTAGGGGCAAGCAGCGCACGTAGCCCTCAAATAGTTTGACGCAAATTCCAACAAACGCACATACTTGCTTGATATCTGGCCTGATACGTTCTTACCTGATGTCTGACCCGACACAATGGTTATATGCACCAGCCGATCCCATTTTTGAACTGATAAACTAATTAGAAGGCAGCTAGACAACAGCGCCCACCGCCAACAATTTGGATACCCTTGTCGAACACTGGGTTTTGATCTACAGTCAGACATGTTAACCAATGGAACACGCTCGGCACTTTCTGTTTCGCGAAAGCACACAATATTACTGTTAACGTACCAGTAGATCAGGTGTGCTCTACCAGTTAGCGTGCCCGGACTGTAAGTCTAAGGATTCATTGTTAGCGTCCTGTTTCCGCTATTGGTGTGCTATGGGAGTGACAGTGACGTCACACTATTCAATCGTAGAAGAATAACCCGAAAGTGGCGAAGATAGCCCTTGTGTAGTTTTACGCGAAAATTCTAGTTACAATAAAAAATAAAATTAAAAGTGACTGTTTTAGGCCTGATAAATGCCCCCGACCCCCAGTGGTACAGCGGCATGTCTGCGGACTTAAAACGCTAGGAACCGGGTTTCGATACCCGTGGTGAGCAGCGCACAGATAGCCCATTGCGTAGCTTTGTGCTTAATTACAAACAAACAAACAAAATCGAAGACAAATCAATACTTTTAATCACACAAAGGCGGTAACGTAATTTGTCTCCATAATTTCAAGCTTAAAATTCGGTTGCAATAAGCTTCACGAAATAGACATTTGTATTAAAGAATCAATTTATGTAAATACGATTACGATAGACATTTTGTCACGCAAAAAAAAAAGGACTAGTTTCGCTACTTTTGTAACATAACAAGAGCTACTTTTGTTATATAACGAGAGCTAGCTTTGTTACGTAATTGTCACGTGGGATTTTATCGATTTTATTCGGAAGCTTGTTTGCGCATTTTCCAGGATGCACGTGGACATTTAATGCTAGTTACTGTTTCTTGTTTTTCAGCATTATCACGAGTGACGATTGTGTTCATGAAATATTAATAAATATTTCATCGGGTCTATCGTATTTCCTCGAATATAATATGCACCCAATTTTGAAGGTTAAATTGAAGAAAATTCGTTTTTTTTTTTGTTTTTTTTTCACATCAGTTGTACAAAATATGTTAAATAGTTTTTAAATTCAGTAAACAACTATCGATAAATTAAACATTTTTGGAAATCTTTCATTAATTTTTTTTTTTACGTGTCAATTTTACAAAATTTATTGAAATGTTTATACGTGGTAATACACTAAGCTAATCTTTCATCTTCACATAAATTTTCATCATCTCTAGAGTTGTCGGATTTGCTTCCTTGAAGCTATACTTCATCCTCTTCATGTCATCCTCCTTCCCATCCATTGCATTTGATATGCCACATTTTTTGAAATGATTTTCGATGGTAGTTTCTAGTAAGATACCTAACAAAATCGAACGTGCGTATTATATTCAGGCAGATACGGTACTTCAGTTTTGTTTTTATTTCACCTAAACACTTCCTCAGTTCTGCTTTGTTTTTATCATACAAAGAGTCCAGTTATAACTTTAATTTGAATGTAATAATACTAAAACTTTGTCCATAGCGATCTGCTGAAATAAACTATTAGTTTGGAGCAGATTTAGTCTGTCTAATGTCAGAAACAGCATCACAACGAAACAACATAACATTTACAATGTGTTTATATTTATCAAGACACACTGTAGTGTGTCGTGAGGCCAGAACAACCTGCAGGAAACACTGTGGGTTATTAACAGGAGTGATAGTTTAGCGATTTTACACTTTCTGTAGCTTTAACTGTGTTAATCCAAACTATCACATATTTTTAGTGGATGTGCTTTACTGGACTCTTACTTTACATACCAAAGCAATACATTAAAAAATACACGAGGTATAAAATCTCCAATTTTGATTTATTTTTTCTTCTTCTTCGCACCAAAAGTACGGAAACTTTAAAAGTTTGGTTTTTATATCAAATATTGTTGTTTTTTTTCTAATTTGGTACACTGATAGGTCTTTACAACCAACAATTAGGAGTCTCATTTGGTGTAAATATAAACCACATGTGTAAAGTTATTCAACAAAAAACCGCTCAATTTTAACCAGTTTTTGCGTACGCCTACGCAAACAATTATATGAGCTGTCGGTCTGATTTTTTTTGACTACAGCTTCACCGAAGAGTAAGAGTGTGACGTTTTTAGTTTTTTGTCATTCAGATTATTAAAGACTGCTGATTTACAGCAGCAAAACTATATGGTGAAGGCGTGAAAGCACGTGCAGATACATAAATATTGGTTAGGCCAAGCAAACAAGATTAGTAGTTTCTAACTCAAGTTTTCAAAAGAAACATAAGGGTGAACGCTCAATTTTATGAAATTCTCCAAATTAAAGAGCGTTTGGCGTCACGTGATATTAGCTTAAGCAATTAGCGTAAATAATGATGCTTGATACAACTATACCGAATGCATGCGGGTGATGACAAGAAACTATTAATATAGATTCCATGGCGTTACTATAAAGGAAGTTATTAACAATGTATTAGAGATGAAAAACTACCACCATATATTTTACAAAAAAAGTCTGAAAGTTCTGTAAAGTATAGGACTTTTCCGAATAATAAGGTCGCGATCCTAAAGTTATGCCCCCCAGTGGCACAGCGGTATGTCTGCGGAATTACAACGTTAGAATCCGGGTTTCGATACCCGTGGTGGGCAGAGCACAGATAGCCCACTGTGTAGCTTTGTGCTTAATTACAAACAAACCTAAAGTTAATGTTGGTTTCTATGAAGTGTCACTCTTTCTTACTTGCTGTGGTTTTTAATTTCTTTTCGAAAGTTAAGTAGTTAGTTAATGTGGCTGGTGTGTGTTGACAAAAAGTCATGATATCTAATCAAAAACACCTTAGGTAAAAATAAATAAATAATAAAAAAAAAATATTGGCGGTCAAATTAGTAGTTACACTTACAGCATTGATAAGAATTTTATAACAAATATTCATTCATTAGTTAGCCAGGCCGCGTTTTTGTTCAATTTCGGCCATGATGATGAGTAACATAGAAAGTTCATTTACAACACAGTGAATACTTTCTGACACATCGGTGGCTTAGCAGTAAGGTTTAGGACTTATATTGCTAAAATTCGGGGTTCGAGCTCTGCAACATATACGTCACAGCAAGGTTATTGTGTATATTCACGCTAAAAATAAACGAACATAATATATGGATTTCCTCTATTTTTTTATAATTTTGTGTAAGGTAGCCCTCTGGTGTTAAAATGTGAATTTCTCGCAGGGTACCATCAACTAAAGTTAACATATTTGGTTTAGTTTTCATCACTAACAACGTTTTATTACCAAAACATGTAGTGATTTAATCTTTGGTTTCTATTCCTGGCTAGCACCATACGTTCGAGTACTGTTGATTCGTAATGGTAAACTGTTGAAGAAAAAGAAGACTAGCACCCGCGTAGGGACCGTCTCTCCATCGTTCAGCGAATCCTTAACGTTTGATATTCCAGCTAGTGAAATGGAAAATGTTGTCTTTTTTGTTGTTGTCAGCCATCATGACCCACAAGATGACGGAATATCCTCACCGGAATCACCCACTTCTTCTTCCGGATCCATGAAACGTGATCGCCACGTGGGAAAAGTTTTGATCGGTTCTTGTGCACGTGGCACTGCTCAGCACCATTGGTCAGCTATGAAACAGTCACTAAGGAACAAGTCACGCAGTGGCACACGTTGCGTTAAAACACGCTACCTTTATAAAATATTCTTATTAGTTGTTTTTTTTTCTTTCTTTTTAACATTGGAAGTAGATTGCTAAAAATTTAAATTTTACACACCTGTGTGCTTAGTGTATTCACAAATATTTAAAAAATAATTATTTATTTTAGATTAATTTCCAGGATACCCCAAGAGTAATATGATTTTTGGGGGGTTTCGGAGACATCAATAGAAACACAAAAACGATTTAAAAATGGAGATATATAATAAATTGTTTTTTTTTTTGGGGGGGGGGGGGGTCGAAATTTTGAGTATCAGCCTGCTGTTGATATGAGAAGTATATATATATAAGCAGGTTTTTAAAAGCCAACTGATAAAAGCTAAAAAACAACATCTAAAGCAGAAGGAAGGCGACAAGAAACAACAGTGCCTCCCAGTGGCACAGCGGTATGTCTGTGGACTAGAATCCGGGTTTCGATACCCGTGGTGGGCATAGCACAGATAGCCCATTGTATAGCCTCGTGCTCAACTTCAAACAAACCTTCCAAAGAAATGGCAGTATGAGACATATAAACTAAGTGCATAACGCAGAACAGATGTATTGTGAAACCGGTGTTGTTTCTTAAACGTAGTTATTGATGAAAGTGATTAGACGTTGCGCAACCTTAGATAAAACGCGCTGTTAAAGATGAATTGTGAAACCATCGCGCGAAAGCTCACGTTTTTAAACTGCAGCTAAAACCTTTTTCGGGAACTGATTATCCGAAAATCAAAAACCGCTCATTCTAACAAAAAAAAAGTGAAACGTTTTTCCGCTCATTCTAACCAAAAAAAGTGAAACGTTTTTCTATGGAATTTATATAGTTGAATACAGGGGCGTCGCTAGGCACCGGTACACGGGGGCCCGTGCCCCGAATCCCCATTTGGTGCTCTCGAAAAATTAGAATTGAAAACCACGATCGGTATCGTACTGAAAAGCCGAAAATTATCGCGAGTTCCTGCCCCAAATCTTTCAAGCACCTAGCGACGTCTCTGGCTGAATACGTGATATTCTGTTTGTAGTTTTCTTGAGACGCCACGTAACAAAATCTTACCTCTGGTTGGATGTACTTTATGATATGTATCTTGTAAACTGTTCATCGTGATATTTGAAAAACAACAAAAAATACACCGGTATTGAGACTCGAAATTACTCTATTCCAAAAGGACTTTGTGGAGATTTTTTTTTTTTTTCATGCATTCGATAAGTGATCTTGGAAACAAACACTATTAACATATTGAATAATATCAGCACCTCTAAATTTCAAGCTAAGCCTAACTCGTGCGTTTGTAAAGAAAACACGAGAGTCATTTCGGTAAGCACCATTATTAACTTTCGTTACTACCATTATTACTTCTGTTTAGTGTAAAGTAGTTTCCAAATTACACGACACGTATTTTGTCACTAATGTATGCATTTCGTACGCTGGATGGTTGTTTTTAATATTTTAATTTTATTTCAGAAATTTCATACGCATTCCAGAATTAAACCAAAAATTGTAGGAACGGAATGACTCTGTTTTCACAACATACGAATATGAGCTATGTAGAGATAGTTAGATGTATATAAAGGTTGTCATAAGCATGTAAGTGATATAAGAAAATACGTGGACCAGTTATCAACTCTTTATTGCACTTATTACGAAAATGCAGTCGAAAACAAGTTGTCTTGTATTTTTTTACTTAAATAGGTCTATATTAAACAAAAATGTTTCTGAGGGATATATTTTGGTTATAATTGAGTAAGTTACTTAGAAGTAAAACTGTTCAATTGAGGAACCAACAAAAATAATTTTATGGTTTATTTGAACTGTTACCTGGAGCTAAGAGCATTCAGCTACAGAAATGAAACGTATCGGTATCAAGTAACAACGATAGGTTTGTTGACTGTATGTTAATACTGTGCAGTAGAGGGTTAATAGAGCGAGAAGTGCATTAATTTAAGCTCGTGGTTGTTTGAGGAAGAACTCCTATTGGAGAAAAGGCCTAACCGTAAGCTCGTGCCTCTTTATTCTGTAATAATTATACTACTAATTATTCAACTAGCTTGAGTTAATGCTAAGCCTAACCTAGATTACGAAACTTAGCTGATAGTCCGTCATACTGACATGGATTGAATTATAAGAACACGATTGGTTGTTGTGTTGTGCCCGTGCCACCGCTCAACACCATTGGTCAGTCGTGAATTTGCCGATATATAACGCTAAAAAACAGACAGCCCGTTGTGTAGCTTTGTGCTTAATTACAAACAAATGAAATAAAAC